AAGACGCTGGAAACCTATCATGATGGCAGAGCTATCAACGGGTAGATCAAAGAGGCATGAGGCGACAGCTTACTTGTGGAGACCTCAAATAGACGGCCGAGCGCTGCGGCTGGGTTCAGGGGCGTGGCAACGGTGGTGATCAGGATGGCGGGGTTGCGAACAGGTCCACCAACACTGCTGGCTTAAGAGGACGTTGTGAGGGGCGACCGGCAGGTGAGAGGTCTCCGTATGATGAGGATCGATAGACGACATTTTATAGCAAGCCTTGATTGAGCGGAGGGCGACGTTCTGTGCTGACTGAAGGCGGCGGAAGCTGGAAGAGCTGATCGTAGGGGAATAGATTGGTGCCGCATAAGTGAGGCGCGGCTTGTCCGAAGATGGTCACCGGCATTAGCGTGAAGGCTGATGATAATACCATTGGCATTACACTGATCGCATTTTCTCCTTCTTTGCAGAATAACCCGTATTTGCTTCCTTTGCTCGTCGCATAATCAGAAGAGGGATAATATATTTGCCTCCTACGGCGGAAACTGAAACCTAGTTGGACCTTATTTGCTTTCTTTATCTGAGGTGGTAACAAGTTTTCGTCCATCTCACCAGTTTCCTCGTTATATTTTCCATTTGCAATTTCATAGAGGCCAGACTGGCAGACGATAGTTTTGTTAATTATATGGCAAAAAGAAATTATTAGGAAGTACTCCGGACAAAGCTTATCACTGTGTTATTTGCCATCATCAACTCCAGTTGAACACTGGACATTTAAATGCCGAATAAGGCCCCTTAATACGCTAGTCGGCTATTTGTCCATATTTTGCTTCGCCTTAAGCCGTTTTTGCATTTTGTTGCCTTGCACCGTGCAATCTTCAGAGCTTGAAGATAACGCGTTGGAATATGTCGACCGCACTTCTGTTGTCGTCGCCGTCTCCGACAAGGCAAGCAGTTTACGATCCGAGGACCTCCGTTCAACAGACCTTGACCTCTATGTGCCACCGGAGCGCCGGCGTGTCTGCAGTTTAGACATTGCAGAGTCGGAGGAGATCGCTGAGTCCAGTTTCTCCTGCGCTTCTCCCGCTTCCGGACCCATCTCCCTGTCACACTCCCTTCCGCGCTCCGACTTGGACGAGGAGGAGGAAGAAGAGGAGGCGCTTTTCGTCGGTCGCCGCCACCTCTCTGTCGGGTCGCAAGAACCGCCAGTGCATGAGGCTTCGCTCTCATCGGCGAAGCGGGAGCGTATGCTGCTGCCATTG